CGTACCTTTAGTTCTCTCATATAGGGTCAATTGTCAGGGAGGGTTAAGCTGTTTGAGTTATGATAATCTCATAAGTGTTTTAACTTCATTTTCATCCTCATGGTCTTATGGCATAGATTCCTTGTGTCAGCTAACGTCAGGAGTGTAATTCCACTTCATGTATTTTGAATCCCATCTTGCATTCAAGGTACCAGAGTATGAACTGGTTTTCCCTTCACTCTAGGAAACGACTGGGTCATGTACTTTAATATTCCTCCTTGATGATTCCTATTTCCAATGTACTACTTACCCCTATGCCTCATTTGTGTAATAATTGACGTGGTCACAGTAATTAACCATGTCAGCATTGTTAGTTGTAACTTTCATGTCCCTTAGCATATAACCTCAGAAAGTACTCTACTCAGCGCATTAATGAATTCCTGGATAACTCCAACACAATCTCGAACACTGTGTTCCTCATTGCATTAAATTTATTAGGTATTGAAGGTCCAAACATGTCAAATGGGGATCATCCCCGTGTGATCGCATATATTCGATAGGTAGTTTTATGGCCAGTTTATGATAGCACATCTTAAGTAATCATCGAAGGTCATCAAGGTTTAGCATGGGTGTTCGAGTAGAGATTTAGAATTCAGGAGGGTGAACTGGTTATTCTCAAAAAATTTCCAATGTAGATGTTATGTGAATTGATAATGAAGGGTACGTAAGCGCATTTCCCATTAGGTCGCACTAGGAGTATGATGTTTCCCCATTGTTGTTCCTCATAAATTTGTATTTTCATATGTCTATGTTAAAGAAAGTGGTTGGAGATCCATCCACCATCATGCCAGTTGAGACTATCGAGGTTAATGAAGAGTTATCGTATGAAGAAATTTCGGTTGCTATTCTTGATAGGCAAGTTCGTAAATTGAGAAACAAGGAAGTCACTTCAGTTAAAGTATTATGGCGAAGGCAACGAGTCGAGGAAGCCACGTGGGAAGCGGAAAATGAAATGAAAGAAAAATATCCCCATCTGTTTGAACAAGTCTAGTAGTGATCGTGCGAACGGTTATCTTTAAGCAATTTGAGGTAGTGTTCAGATTTGTGCAAAGGCACCCCATTTTTCCAAATTGCCTTATTGTTGTAACTTCCCTATGTGTGCCAAATTGCAAATGTTGCTATTTGGGTAATGTACAACCCTTGAAGTAAATGAAAATTTTGAGAAACTTATGTGGTAGGTAAAAGATTAATGATAGTGTAGATTGGTAATGATTAATTAAAGCATTTTTGGCATGTTAAAGTGATTGAATTGTATGGGGCTCATTGAAGTGACCCAGTTGTGTCCAAGTAAATGACATTGGTTGAACCATGTGCAATTTGTGGTGTAAAGAGAATGAACTACGTGTAAGTTGTTTAAAGTGTATGAATATGTACAAGTTGTTGAGGTAATGAATTGTATACCAGTTGTAGGGATAACAGAAACTGTGTAATGGTACTTGAAAATATGTTTCGGGAGCTCTCTAACAGGTAGATAGGCCTAATTACAAAGGGAACTCTGGCGAAATTTCTAAAAATTTTGGGAGTTAGTATAAATTAAGGGACTCGAGGTAGGATAGAAAAGAAATATGTTATGTTGGGTGTTTGGGTCAGGCTCTACCTCTCATTCGAGGACGAATGATCCTAAGCGGGGGAGAATGTAAGGCCCCGAAAAAAAAAAATTCTAGGCGATATAGGATTTCGGGGTGCCAGGTAGACTAATTGTAATATTTTATGTGCTTTTAATATAATTCAAATGAAATGGATGTGGTGAATAAATGTATGAGTCATGTAATAAGTGACGTGAGGTCCAATGGGAAGCCTAAGTCTAAGCCAAGTTGGAAGATTTCATAATAGGCTAAGATTTCAAATGAATATGCACAAGACCTCACTTTGGACGCGCATATCTTTGTGTATATAAGGAGTTGTGGGAAGCACAACCTATCAAATTAAAGCTCTTTGAGTCTAGTTTCCAACGCACCAAACCGTTTGCCATTTGGAGGTGTATACAGAATGTTACAACCATTTTATTGGGCAGGTGTCGAAGCGCGGCCGCGCATATTGGGAAGTATTCTGCCTCCTTAGCGCAGGCGCGCTAGTAGCAGACCTCTAAATACACCTAAGGACGGGAAATGAGAGGATTTAAGTCATTTCTCAAGCGTAGGGCATCCTCTCCATCCCCAATCTGACCAAGGTATCCAATCACACACCTAAGGTGAGTTTTTAAGTGTGTTTTCATGGTGATTTCACCTATCAATCACTAGTTAAAACAGGGTTTTGATTGGATTTCATAGGATTTCTTCAAAATCTCAAGAACATCCCAAAAGTTGTCTTTCATGATTTGGCCTACAAGAGGTAATCTTTTACCCTTAGACTTACATATATGGATATATTATAGGATTATGAGTATGAATTAAGTGTTGGAACTCTTGGTGTAGTGATGGGAAGCCATAAGTTCCCAATATAAATACATAATTATTGTAGAGATTGAAAGGATGTTTATTGATATAAATTGTTGGTTGGGTATGAATGGGTGATCATACATATGTTGTTGGAAGTTATAAATTGGTTAGGAATGATGGTGGAATAAATTGTTAGTTAATGGTGTTAGATGGATGAACTAATACTTTGGTTATGAGATGAAAAGATTTATACCTACAAGGTGTTTGATAATATGCCTAAATGGCATAAGTTATGGAATTTGTTACTAATNATATATATATATATATATATATATATATATATATATATATATATATATATATATATATATATATATATATATATATATATAAACAAATAACATGTGTTCTCAGTTGCAGCGTGAAACCTGATCCACAAATATATACACAAATATTGTTGCGGCGCAACCTGATGAAAAATAATATTTCACCAATATCCATTGCGGTGTGCGACCCAATCCCACAGAATAATACTAATTTCCATTGTAACGTACAACCCGATCCCATAAAATGTAAAATAAATATACAAACTACAATCAGCTATAACGTGCTCAAAATAAAACACAATAAGAGAATTATATAAGTAAAGACATAAAACAGATAATAGTGGCTATCTAATAACACACAAAGTCATAAAGCAAGTAAAGACAATCAATAAATAACGACACGGATACATGGAAATATTTGGCAAGTAAAGGCATGTATCGGATAAAGACATAAATTTATCAAGTAAGGCAAGTAACAATTAAAGCATTTAACAAATAACAACAACAACAACAACAACAACAACAACAACAACAATAATAAACCCAGCTTAATCCCATATGTGGTGTCTGGGGAGGGTAATGTGTACGCAACCTTACCCCAACCCTATAAAGGCAGGGAGGTTGTTTCCAATAGACCCCCCGCTTAAGGAACGATAAAAATAAAGCAACAAGCAATAACATCAGTAATATAATAAGGTAATGAAAGCATGTGGCATAACAAGTAATAAAGAACCCTGAATAAAGGAATACAAGAATATTACTAGTACTACTAGCAAGCCTAGGAGAAACTTGCAACTACCGGTCAACCCACCACCTCAATCCTCGACCTCCACACCTTCCTATCGCTAGTCATATCCTTGGTTAGGTGAAGCACCGACATATCCTGCCTAATCACCTCTCCCCAATACTTCTTTTGCCTACCCGTGCCCTTCCTCAAGCCCGCCATGGTCAACCTCTCACACCTCTTGACCAGGGCAACTATGTCTCTCCTCTTCACATGCCCAAACAATCGCATCCTCGATTCCCCAAACATGTCTTCCATGGATTCCACTCTCACCATGTCTCTAATAACAACATTCCTAATCTTGTCTTTCCTGGTATGTCCATACATCCATCTCAACATCCTTATTTCAGCTACTTTTATCTTCTGGACATGGGACTTTTTGACGGGCCAACACTTAACTCCATACAACATAGCCAGTATGACCACCACCCTGTAGAATTTTCCCTTAAGTTTAGGCGGCACAATCTTATTGCATAAAACCCCGAAGCTAACCTCCATCTCATCCACCCTAAACCAATACCATGAGTGACATCCTCGTCAATCTCCCTGTTGCCTTGGATTATAGACCCAAGGTACTTAAAACTATCTATTTTGGGAATGACTTGAGTATAAATCTTCACTTCTACTTCTTCTTCATGCCTCTCATCACTGAACTTGCACTCCAAGTATTCAGTTTTTGACCTACTCAACTTGAAACCTTTGGACTTCAGCGACTGTCTCCAAGCTTTCAGCCTAGCATTAACACCCTCTCGCGTCTCACCAATCAGTACTATGTCATCTGCAAATAACATACACCATCGCACCCACCCTTGTATGTGTCGTGTCAGCACATCCAATGCTAAGGAAAACAAAAACGGTCTTAGGGCCGATGCCTGATGCAACCCCATCTCCATAGGGAAATGTTTCGAGTCTCCCCCGCAGTCCTCAACTGAGTCTTAGCACCTTCGTACATGTCCTTAGTCACCCTAATGTACGCTACCGGTACTCCGCTAGCCTCAAAACATCTCAATAGCATCTCCCTCGGGATTTTGTTATAAGCTCTCTCAAGGTCAATGAACACCATGTACAAGTCCTTTTTCCTCTCCCTATATTGCTCCACCAATCGTCTCACAAGGTGAATGGCTTCTGTAGTTGACCATCCCGGCATAAATCCAAACTGGTTCTCAGAGATAGATACATTTATCCTCACTCGCTTCTCCACTACCCTCTCCCAAACCTTCCTACTGTGAATCAACGGCTTCATACCCCTATAATTGTTGCAGTTATGGATATCACCTTTGTTACCATACCCGATTCTTTTTAAAATTTCACCGAGATCTCGTCAGGCCCAGTCGCCTTACCCCAGCTCATCTTCCATATTGCCACATAAACCTCCTCACACTTAATATGCCTACAAAACCCAAAATCTCTCCGACTCTTTGAGTTCTCCTACTCATCCAGCATAATGTTCCTATCCCCCTTCCTCGTTCAAGAGTATATGGAAGTATTTCTGCCATCTACCCTGATACACGCCTCTTCCACCAATACCTTACCATCTTCATCTTTGATGAACCTCACTCGATGCAGGTCCCTATCCTTGCTCTCCCTAATCTTGGCTAACTTGTCCAGCTTCTTATCCCCTCCTTTACCCCTAAGATCCTCATACAATCATTCAAAAGATGCAGTCTAAGCTGTCATGACCACAAGTTCGCCTCTCTCCTTGCCTTCTTATAACACTCCCTTTACGTTCCCCGCTCCTCCTTGTCCGTGCTCCCGACTAGCTTCAAATATGCCAATTTCTTAGCTTCCATTTTACCTTGGACCTCACCATTCCACCACTTGTCCCCTTTATGGCCTCCTGAGTACTCCTTCAAGACCCCTAACACCTCCCTAGATGCTTCTCTAATAAAGTTCGTTGTTGTGGTCTACATACTACTTGTGTCCTCATTATTCCTTTAGGTCCCCATAATGAACAGCTTCCCCCAACTCCTGAGCCCTTCCCTTAGTCAAGGCTCCCCACTTGGTATTAGGTTAGTCGTACACCGCTCTCTTTATCCTTTCTCCCCAAAGCATTTAACAAATATTTTCGTGGATTAAATGAAGGACTGAAATAATTGACAATAAAAGAATATCCCAACCCACATGCTAATACTACGTATATACACTCGTCACCTTGCATATATGCCATCCTCACATATAAATGAAGTCACAAATAGACCAATCAAGTCCTAATTCCCTCAAGTCCAGGTTAACCACAACACTTATCTCTTCCCTCAACCAAATCGATGATCAACGATGGATTTTCCTTTAGAACAAGCCTCCAAAAAAATCAAATCTAGCCAAATATAGTTCAATCAATTAAAAATAAGCTTTAGAAACTACCCACGAGTGAAAAAGATTCAATCTTTAACTAAATTGGAAAAAGTCAACAAAAGCCAACCACAGGTCAGCTTGGGCAAAATTCGAGTTTCGGACAAAAAATCATTTACCATTCATCTCCAAGCCCGATTATGTGATTTGTTTTGAATTTCGACCTCAATTTGAGGTCTAAATTGAAATTTTATAAAATTCCTAAACTCTACCTAAAACCCCTAATTTCTATCATGATCTTCATAGATTATGGTTAAAAATCAACGAGTGATCATAGAAATACATTAAAACTAGTTAAAAAGCACTAACACATGAAGTTGGAATGAAAATCAAAAATCATCTCTTGTCTGAGATCTAGCTTTCAAAAATGGTGAAAAATGACAAACTCCCGACTTTCAACTCTTTAAATAACTAGGCGTTAGGTGTTCTTCACGTTGGTGAAGCACCTGCAGAGTTCACGAAGAAACATGGACTGATTGATGAAGTAACTCGAACATTGAGGTTGCAATTCTTTAGTATCAAATTATGACTACCCGTGAATGCAACTGTTATTTTTGTTTCATTTTATTATTTTGAGTACTTTCAGGAATTCCTATAATTGTTTATAGAAAAAAGTTGCATTCTGCTGCAATGATGGCTATCTTTTCTATCATATCTTGCATGTTGTAATTTGTTGGTATATTCCAGTCAAGCACTCACGCCCAATGGTCTTCGCGTTCATGAAGTCCACATTGTATACATGTAATTTTGATACTTCCCGAGATTTACACATTTTAGTGTTAAATATTTAGTTTAGGTCTAATATCGCTACTTTAATTAATTTTGACTCTTTTACTTTATTTTATCTCAAAAATAAAAATTACAAAAATATATTTTCTTTTATTTAGGTAATTGATATTTTATGTTGTTACTTTTAGTTTACCTACCTTTCATGAAATTAAAAAATACAAAAATAATTTCACTTTTTTTTAAGGAATATTAGTAGTTTTGTAGGAATATTATTTTAATTTTGCAATGATTTTAATCTAATTCCATTTTTATCTTTTAGTATGATATTTGAAAAATATCAAAAATAGGCTTGTTTTAGCGGTTAATTTTATTTTAATAGTTATTTTACTTAAGTAGGATTAATTAGTAAATGGGGTAGTATTTTAGTCTTGTTCAAGGAGAAAGAGTCAAATTTGGGCTAAAGCAACCCATTTTTAGGCCTATTTTCGTATCGCCTCGGCCATTAACCCCAAGCCCAGCTAATCCTATACCCAAAAACCCTTTTTAGATCACATAAGAAAAATAAAAAGACCTAACCCTAATCACCCTTAATTAGCTCCCAGCCGTTTCTCATCATCTTGAACCCCAAAAAAACCCTAGGACCATCATCTTCCTCAACCTAACACGCCTAGAACCTAAGCTAGCTTCTGGACCCACATGAAGCCAATCAAGGACCCCTGCTGCTGAACACACACAAAGAAGCAGCCATCAAACAAACCCTAAGAACCTAGAGCAGCGGCAAGCCCCCCTCTGATTTTTGGATAAAAAGACCTAGCAGCCATTGCCTTTAATTTCTAAGCTAAGAGCACGCCACCAAGAAATCAGCCGAAAACCCCGACTCAAAAACAAAAATCGGGCTCTCTCACCATCTCGTTACCTCATACAAAGAGAAAAAGATGGCAGCCTCACCGGAGAGGCGAAGGAATTGAAATTTCAGAGAACTTTGTTTCTTGCACATTTTTTTGAGAGATAAAATTGGCGTCTCATAAAGGTGCTGCTCATTTTTAAATTTGAAGACACTCTTTTCATTTTCAATTTTTAGATTTTTAGTTTGGTAAAAATATTAGAAAAATACAAAAAAACAAAGGCTTTGCTCCTTTCGAATTTTGGATTTCTGTTTTTCAAAGGAGATGGAGTTTAGTTGATTTGGGGTGACGGTTGCGGTTCCGTCGTGTCAAGCGGATTCCAACCCGAGTTTTCTTCGCGGTTTGTGATTTGCCTCCCTGGTATTTTCTTCGTTCGGATCTTTATTTTGGTGAAGCTGTTTCACAAACTTTATTTTTCATATACTAAAGAAATCTGCTTTACAGGTTCTTTCCCTTATTCCTTTTCTATTTTTTCATGTAATTTGCGTGTTTGTTGATTTCTTATCGTTTAGTATTTTTTTATAATTGTGGTTGTCGGTTTCTTCTTCAAAATCTGCTATTAGAATTTGCTAGTATTCAAATGAGTGTAAATTTGATCTGATTTCATGTTGCGATAGCACCGTTACGATGAATCTGTTTCACTATTTGAGGTGTGCTCTTAAAATTAAATAGTATTGCTTGTTTTCTTCATCTATTATCAGTACGAAACGAGTATAAAGTATTTTATTTAATCCTACAAAAAAATTTCTTGAGTATGATGAAATTCAGCAAGTCACTATTTTTTTGAAGGTGGAGTTTAACTAGCACTTCAAAATTCTCTATTAGTTTCAAGTCATAGGCATTGGAGGAATATTCACATGGTTGAGTTCAAGCAGACATATGTTCTTTCAAATTGAGTGAGCCAGCGTAATGAATTTCTTTGAGTTTCATTTATTTATTTATTCTCCCTTTATTATTATTCATTAGTAGCATGTTTAGACCGACCATACGTTAGCAGACAGGCTTTTAGGCACGTAAATATCATCGTGACAATGGGTATGGTTCCCGTGGTATAGTCATGATACATAATCCCCAATTCGGGTGCACATTTCACGTGACTCGACCATAGCTTCTCAATAAAATACACGTGTTGTAGGTTGTGGGTACGGTTCCCGTGACACGATTCGCAACATGTACAAAAACAAACAAGTGTACGACAATCGTAACTTGTTTTAAAAATAACTCCATAAATAATTAAAAGCGGTTGAAAAGCTAAAAATACACAATATGTATAAAATAAGTAATTAATTAGATAATTAGGCCAATTTATAATAGTTGAGCGACCGTGCTAAAACCACGGAACCCGGGAAGGCCTAACACCTTCTCGGGTTAATAGAACTCCTTACCCGGATTTCTGTATTTCGCAGATTGTAAAACAGAGTCAAAACATCCTCGATTCGGGATTTTACCGGTTAAGACCACCTTCTCGGCTGAAGATTATGTTAAGTTGTACGTAAAGAATATAGTTCGACTCCATCGGGTTCTGATTTCCATTATATCGGACAGACTTGCCCAGTTTACGTCCAACTTTTGGAGATCATTTTAAAAGGGATTGGGTACGTGGAATAACCTTACCATAGCTTTTCATCCATAAATGGATGGTCAGGCTGAACGCACTATTCAAATGCTTGAGGACATGCTACGCGCCTGTGTTTCGGACATTAGAGGAAACTGGGAGGATCACCTATCACTCATCGAATTTGCTTACAACAACAAATACCATGCTAACATTCAGATGGCACTGAATGAGGCTCTATACGGATAAAAGTGCATATCTCCTATTGGCTGGTTCGAAGTTGATGAAATAAAGTTATTGGGTCCTGAGTTCGTGCATCAGGTTGTTGACAAGATAAAAATAATTCGAGGCCCTTTAGTGACCGCTCAGAGTAGGAAAAAGTATTACTCAGATAACCGACGACGAGATTTAGAGTCTGTTGTGGGACACTGGATGTTCTTGAAGGTGCCGCCTATGAATGGCGTGATGAGATTCGGGAAGAAAGAAAAACTCAGTCCTTGGTATATCGGACCATATGGAATTATTCAAAAAGTCGGTCAAGTAGCTTATAAGCATGAACTGCCCTCGAAATTTGAAGCAGTACACCTAGTATTCCACATGTCGGTGCTCCGAAATGCTTGAATGATCCATCTCGTATTACCATTATTGAAGGTATCAAGTTATGGAAGACCTATCTTACGAAGAAGTTCCGCTAGCTATCCTAGA